AAATTTTTGGATATATATATATATATATATTCAAAGTTTGATATATGATTATAATTCATGCCAACTTGTTCTCTTTTTCTTTTCTTTTTTTTGCGTCCCGTCGACAATTTAAAGCGTTTCTGTCGTTTTATAGCGCGTAAGCAGAATCACTGTGTTCTGATGACGTATTTAAATTTCGCAAAATTATTTATTTTTTTAAGGGTCTGCAAAGAGTAGGCCCGTAGCCAGAATTTTCAATTAGAAGGGGGGAACCCACTTCCTGCAGACGTGGCACTCCGCCATAAATGGGAAAAGTATCAAATATATTTAACTTGAGGACTTTTTGATTTGCATGTATATTCCATATATCATATGCATTCGTTTATGAGATATTGGTATAAATAAAATATATAGTACATCCATGTACAAAAAAAGCAGGAAAAAATCACCGGTCAATGCATTCTAGTATAGTACAGATAAATCGCATGATTATCATTCTCTTTTCTCACATGAAGATCCAGTTCTTTAGGTTGTCTTCAGTAAAAAATAATAAAAATGTTTCCCAACAAAATATTTCTTAAACCCTAATTATTAAATATTTACCTTTATTTTTTTATCATCCTTTCTTAATATACTCTGTTATTGTTATGTTTTTGATTAGAGAGATATGGAAGTCGTTATGGTGGGATGGCGCTTGGAAATACATTTGCAATCATTTGCCACTCTCAGCTACTACGATTTTTCTAATTTAGTTTTTTTTCCCTTTATTTAATTATGTTTTCATTTTCTGTTTCACTCTCAGCTACCTCGGTTTTTTCTAGAGAGATTAAAACTGTTTCCAATTTGAATTGTAATATGATACAAAGTTGTCGTAGTCTATTGTTAACAAATAAAATTACTTCGAGTTTATTACTTTGTACTGAGTCGTGCGTTCTGTATTTCTTAGTTTAAATCTTCTTTTTTTTCAAGTACCATTAATTATTTTTCAACGTTACATTTAACGCTATGTCATTGTTTTTCGGTGAAAAATAAACCATAAGGCTTAAGAAAGAAATATAGAAATAGCAGTTCGAGTTAAACTGATAAAGTTTATAGCAAAAAAACACCTATCAGGTCTCTCTACTGCCTCAGTAATGCAACTACAGAGTTGAAGTTTGGAGTGGTTTAAGTGCGATATGAGTTCTTTTTTAAAGTAATAATGAAACGGTGAAAAATAATCCATGAGCTTAGGAAAGAAATATGGAATTAACAGTTTGAGATAAACTGATAAAGTTTATAGTAAAAAATACTCATCGGGCAGCTCTACTGCCTGAGAAATTCAACTACCGAGTTGAAGTTTGGAGTGCTGTAAGTGTGATATGAATTGTTTTTTTGTTTAAAAAAAATAATAATGAAACGGTGGAAAATAAAACATAAACTTAGGAAAGAAATATAGAAATAGCAGTTCGAGATAAACTAATAAAGTTTATAGTAAAAAATACCCATCGGGCAGCTCTACTGCCTGAGAAATTCAACTACAGAGTTGAAATTTGGAGTGCTGTAAGTGTAATATGAGTTGTTTTTAGTTCTAATTTGTTTGAAAGTTAATGCAAT